TTTTAATCTTGATCTTCAATGTTCATTGTTTTATCAGTATTTAATTCGCATAAAAAATACGGTAATAAAAAATTTCGGTATCGATCAAGCTAATATGGATAAACGTAATGGAAAATAAATCGACAACAGTGAGAAGATTAAAATGGTTTATGATGACAATCGGAGTTCAAGGCCGGGAATTAAAAAAATTAACCAAAGCGAATGTCTTGGTAATATATTTTTTATTTTTTTAGATTCGTTTTAATCGAAATTATGTTCATTATGATGTGTTGTGTTTTTTATAATTCATCTTGTATTGATAACTTTTTTCTTTAATTATTAAAATACGTACATAATTCACATGTTCAAATGGAAGTACATGTACGACCCATTTTTGTATTGTCATATTACCGACTTTTATGAATCATGAACCATTGTGTTCATGTTACTTCTATCATATGAACACAAGTGTTATTTTTTAAGCTTGATACCAAATCTTTATATTTGTGTAAGTGTTTGCACCCGATGTTCATAGCGTTGGGATTATGTGTTCATATATTTTATACGATATGAACAATTGTGAACACGATATGAACAAGAGGTGAACACAATATGAACAAGGGGTGAACCTTAAACGGTGTGGATGCAATGCATGTATAAAACTCCAATTGACAAAGGATCGCTTCTGAATGTGTTTATAATGAAGAAACTATTGTTCACAAGCTGTTCATATCGTGTTCATACCTGTTTTTTTTTTCTTTCGTGTAGCAGTTATTCTTATTATGTTCATATTGTGTTCATAAATGCTATGCAGTCCAAGTTCATATATATGTCAAAGTTTTGTTCGTATTTGACACAATGGTTCATATATTTATAGTTGTGTTCATATGGTTCTTACATTAACAAAAATAAATTAAAAAAAAAATCATAGAATTTTTTATTTTGTAACTCCCAATTAATTAATGATATGGGAGTTATATAATATTTTTTACTTAAATACCCTTTTCAACTTTGTTCACTTATCTTTATGAAATTTTAAATTTAAAAAAATAAATTTTTATCATGATTAATCACAACCGTTTATTGAAAAATTGGATGGCCAAGATCGGTTAACAAAGTTAACACAAAAAATTTGGTTAACATTTGAACTTGACCCTATATATATATATATATA